TATTTTTATATTAAAAAATTGTTCACATTAAAACTGCTGAATTAACAAAATGTAAGTAAAAATAATTAAACCTACCTATAAGTAGACTAGGTCAAAACATATCTTTAACATTATATGTTTTTAACTTTGCTAAAATTAGTATTAGAATACAAATATTTATAAGTCTAGCCTACATCATTAGAAAAAATAAAATAATGTAATTTCTAGAACTAAAACTATTTTACCTTTCATCGTGAACAAAATAAAACACTTAACCTTTTAAAAAATGACACCAAAATGAATGTTATATTTTGAAGGTTAGCCTAGTTCATACCAGCTTGCGCCGCTTTGGTTACGTCACAACGAAAAATAGGTTAAGCCTAGGTGAAAAAGCGTAACTGTTGTCTGCTGTAAACAAGTTAGGGTTGCCGCGCTACGTCATTTGTCACGTGACTTGGCGTTTTATTCAGATTTAGGTCATGTAAAAAAATAACAATTCTTTCAAGTGCGAAATACTTGGTACATAAGTTTTATTTATGAAATAAAATATATCTTATTTCATTTCAAAATTGATATATTTTACTTCATATCATTCGTTTATTAAGCTTTAATAGTAACAAAATGGTAGAACAAAAGCCTCAGGGTAATGGGTTCCCTACTCCATATATGGTGTATGACGTAGGATTTTTTTGATTGGTTGGGATAGCTGTTTCCGATTGGTTCAGATTCGGGATACCCCTATATAATGGACTTTGTTTACATCGTGGTTCATTTCAAAGGCAACACTTTCGAGGTACGGACGTAAAATAACATATATGACTGTACTTTACTTGGATTATATTTGCAAGCTTATGCAACGACCTACCACTACAGAAGGTGGCGGAACAGATCAGAAGGCAGCTGAACAGGTAAGAGAAGATGTTATCGAAAAATAAGTTCACCATACGCGACAGCTAGTTCACAGTTTCAATTTTAATAGGATTGTGAAATGTGAATTAAACACCGTCATCTTAAGAAGCCGGTGAAATATTAAAGGTTTTTTTTTAAATAGATCTAGTGTTCTTAACATAAACTTTTAAATCTAGTTTGCGGTTGCCATTCTCGAATTTAAATCTAGATTCTAGGATCTATTCTAGATTCTATCTATTTATTAATTATTTCAAAGTCGAACACTTTTTGGCGTTTTGTCAAAACATTTGAGGATTTGTAAAGTTCTTGCTATTGTAAATATCGTTCACGATGGAATTTTTTTTTAAATAACTCTAATTTTTCAAAGCTGCAAACATCATCCGATTGCATATTGTATAGAATAAATTGTTTTGGTTGCTAGCACAGTCTACTTCGCTCAAGTAGGCCATTTTGATTTCCTCGTTGTTTACATGGTTTTGACCTACATTCACAACGAGGCAGTACTAAGCGTCTGTTAGAAACTACTAGAATAACGAGATTTTTTTTTAAAACAATAATTTAAAACCACAATTTTAACGTCGGGAGGGAGTGGATACTTTGAAGAGGATCTTGATTTGCATTTGTTGTTCTACATTTAATAGTTGTTATCAAAAGCATGTAGCTAGATGCTTGTTATCATAATGTTATCCAAGACGAAATCTATTTATAGATCCATTTATAAACATCCACTGTATTTTTCCACGTCAGTTTATTTACAATTTTCCATAACAACTCAGTCCTTTGTTAAATATTCGGCTAACATGTTTTATATTTTTCCATACTTTCATTTTGATTTATATCTATCTAAATCTAGTGGTAAATGAGTCCATTTTTAAAACCACTTGCCTATCTGTTGTTAGTCTGGCCCTATGCTAACTCTCCATTGGCTGGTCCCAGCTGTTCGACCTTGAGGCGTTGTTACACAACAAGTAGTTTACACAGCTATAAATAAGTTATGTAACCCGACCTTTACCTTGGTTTCTTGTGTCGGAATGTACTAGATCACGCAGGGTGCATGGTCTTCTACATTCTGTCTGTGGTGTATTAGCTGATATTGTATTAGTTTTAATGGTACTGTTTTAAACAGTACGGGTCTACTTATCATCGTTCTACACAAACCTCGACACCCTATTACAATAACAAGTCTGCTATCTGTAATACTGGTAAAAACTAGAGGGAAAAAAGCCTAGTTCGTGTTAGACCATTCCCTATGTCATGCTGAGTCGTCATCTTTACCAGTCAATATTAACTTTTCTTTTCGTCCCTATTTAAATTATGTTTTGAAGAAGAAAAAAATAAGGTTTGTAAATTCAAGATGAATAGCTGATTGTTCATTAAAAAACTATATTATTTTTCGTATTTTCAATAATGCTGTATAACGTAGTTAATAAAAGCCTAGCTATTTTATTGTATGTAACCAGATAAATTATATATTTTTCTGTTATTCGCGTGTTAGGTTTTGTGATTTATCGATTGGGCTCTGGGTATAATTGGATCGAGATAACGAACTGTTCACCTATAGTGCGGAAGGCGGTATAGATTCAGTGAAACACCTCACCGTGTAGGCCTACATACCCGGCATGATGAAATAGTTTCACCCATTGCAAATGACTGACATCAGTTTATTAAGATACATGCCGCCCACACGATCAAACCCAACCACCCCCAAGCTACTACTTTCTTGAAGGGTAGTGACAAAAATTGAAGAAATTATTGTAATGCATCTTTTTTAACACGTCTCTTGTCTTAAAATGAAATTTGACTTCCAACCCCCACCCTGGGTTATTGATAACATAGTGTTCTTCGTATGTAAAATAAATAATAGTTTCGTTATTACATAAATTTATGTTTTTTAATGTACCAAAATGTAGAAATAAAGTTTATTTAGTAAGCTCCTCTTTCTCGCGTTCAAACTAGCAATAAGGCACCTTACGTTAGACTTAATTTATTTTTAAGTTAAATTCAATTTCTTGGACGATTAGCTTAAGATTGTCGTTAAATGAAGGGAATATTCCAGTTCGGTGCCATATTATATTAACGTTGGCGGTAACAGTTTTTTTTCAGTTGAAAACTTCGCCCTAGACTAGGAGGGAACCCACGCTTTTTTTCTGTGGGTCGTTCTAAGGCTTGACAGCAAGCGCACCTAACGCAATAGGTGGTAACAGCACAAAGGGCAATAACTGACATAAACAATCGACCGTCTTCGATTCGCCGTGTTTACCCCCGCTCTGTTGCCGATAGGTCAAGGTCTTTCTAGACCCGTCGAAGCGCTCGTCGGGTCAAAGTTCAAGCCGAGGTTAAATTGTTTACCGGTCAAACGTAAACAACGTGTCCAGTCTATTAATAGATGACGATGTTTATCGTTGGTTGTATTGGTTATATTAAGGTGAGCGGTTAAGCAATCTCATCGTTCATTGAGTGATTGATTGTTGTTCACGTGGCATACGTTGCCACGCCCACTCACGCGAATCCCAGTCACCGTGATATTGTTTTCAAATAACGTCTCGATAATGATTACAAAAAAATACCCTACCACTCCCAAAAGTAGGTGGAAATCAACCACGCCCACATTTTTTTTTAAACGTTTGTCGGTCGGAATGTCTTAATTTCAAAAGTAGGCCCTACTTGTAGGCCTGTATTAAGGTTTTAAGAACATTGTTGGGGTTCAGAGATATAGTTAGGGATGGTTATCTAATGGATTTTTTTTTTTTTTTTGCTTCACATCACCTGATTGTATATTTGGTTTGTGTTACAGTATTGATATAAAATAATTAAGATCTCGCAATCAAGGGCGAATTTTTCGTCATTTTACTTCGATTTTCTTTCTTGTAATTGAAAGTCATACTCGTATTCGTAAAGCTGGTATCGTCATTAACAATACTAAATGACCAGACTATAAGCATAGTTGAAATAAGATCAACGATATCAGGTAATCGAGTATGTGTATGTGACTAATCGATAAGAGTCGTATTTTGAGTGGCCATCCTCGGCTCGCGCTGCTACCCTAAAAATAGTACAATAAACATCGCGTGGGTCAAGTTTAGATAACTCTAGCTAAAAACGGGTTGTTTTTCCTTGCACTAATTGACATTGAAATATAATTTTAAAAGCCTGAGTTAAAATAAATAAATAGCACAACATCACAGCAAGAAAGATAAATACAGGAGAAAACGTTTAACTCAATAAATTGCTTAAATGGCTTTTAACTAGTTAGTTAATTAATTGCTGATGCTATTTTTAAAATACAACATGATTGATTGGAGGTTATATAAGTTTTCGCCTAAAAAAATATTCTGAAAATGTATATAAACCAAAGCAATTGAGTAAAGTTGGTAGTTTGACGAGATCGAATTAACTAAGATCAATTCTCGTTCCGTTATTGTTAGTTGGTTTGTTTTGTTTATTTTTTCATACGGTGTTTTGTACATAGAAATATAAAAGTGTTTTCGCGCATTTCAATACGTCATGGCATATGTAAGTTATACACTATGTTTAAATACAAGTTTTTGTTTATTATTTGAATCTCCTTCCTAATTTCTCAGCTAAATGTTGTGAAGGCCTTCTTCTCTGTTTAACTGTAAACAAAAAAAAAACGTATTGTTTAACAGAGCAAGGTTTGGTTTACTGTTAGATGTGCATGTGGTTTTTTTTTTTAGATTATGCTGTATAATTAGTACTCCATTGCGAGTATACTGAAATGTAGAAACTGTACAGTGTAGATACCACTAACCAATATAGGAGAGTAAATAAAGATGGGGAAAATGTGGATGTTTATCACACGCTTAAATATTGATGTGTAGAATTATATTTTTAAATAAAAAATCAGTCACGTTGCTCGTGTTACATAACCGATAACCGGTTCAGCAGCGCGTGATGGTGAGTACACCACGTGACATGCTTGTTACGCGTTCAGACCACGTGATATGCATGTTACGTATTTTGACCCGCGAGTGTAACGATCTCAACGGTCTTACACCACGCCGTGTAAGTGGGTTTAAAAAATTTTTTATCATTATTACCAAATTGTCCTGACATATTCCTTGACGGTTGTTGTTTTTTCTCTCCAATTCCAGAACATGAGTATTGGCGAGAACAGCAAAGCAATGGCGAAACGTCCGGGCAAACGACCGGGCAGGAAACCTTCGAAAATTGACGAGCGCGCCAAACTGGAGCGCAGCCGCCAGAGTGCCAGGGAGTGTCGGGCGAGGAAGAAGCTGCGGTACCAATACCTGGAGGAACTGGTACTGAACAGGGAGAAGGCTGTGTTCGCCCTCAGAGACGAGCTCGAGACTGTAAGTATATCAGCAGACGTCTGGAAAAAGCACATTTCGGTTAGCCGTACCCTGCTTGAGAATATGAATAGCGATTTTTTTTTCTAGAAGTTGTACTTTATTATCTAGTATTTTGGTACTTAATGTTAGTCCTAAGCTTAAAGACTTAATTTTAGTCCTAAGCGCAAAGTTAACTAGCTATTTGATTATTTAATCTTTATTTTGGTACTTAATCTTAGTCCTAAACTTAAAGACATACTAGCTGTTTGATTATATAATCTTTATTTGGTACTTTTTCTTAGTCCTAAACTTAAAGACATACCAGCTGTTCGATAATCTTACACTTCCGTACTTAATTTTAGTCCTAAACGCAAAGAAATACTAGTTATTTGATTATATAATCTTTATTTCGGTACATAATCTTAGTCCTAAACTTAAAGACTTATTGGCTGTTCTATGATTAGGGTACGGTTAACCGAAAAAGTACTTTATGAATGTATATGTGTCATATTTTTGAAAGAAGATGTTTATGTATGTTGATGTTTAGTGTGTAGTCGAATTAGAGAGATACCGTATGTCTTGAGCTCAACAGCATTCAGTCGAAACTTAAACACTTTACTGTGCATACATCCCAAAATAAATTCACTGGAACATTCTAGCAGGTAGCTAATCCCTATTTGAGAAACACGTTATTATTTATGTTATGTTTTAGAAATTGTTTAGAAAAAAAAATCCACCAAAATCCACTTAGTCATGCGATGCAAAAACTGTAATTGAATCGGTACAAACTTCACAATTCAATGGCAACATGCATGTAAGTAATCGTGTTATGTAATTGGTAGTTAGGATGTAATCGCCGATGTAATGACCGTTGGTTTTTAGCAGAATATTGCGCCGAACTACCATGTAAACTTTCCACAACAGCCGTTTCCGGTTCGCTTTGAAAACTCCGCGTTCAAATCCGAGTCGCAGAACAATGTTTTCATCTTTTTCTTTGTTTGCACAACAGATCCAACGGATCGTTGTTTAACATTGATGTATGGTCCACTTGATTTTTTGTCTTCTTCATAGTGTAAACAATGGTGTGCGTTGATAGACAGCGGCGGGCCGGTGCCAGAAAGTCTCCTGAAAGCGATCATCGACGAAACATCATCACAGAACCAGCGGGAAGGAAATCAAACCAGGAGGCACGATTATCCCCATTCAGGGAGGTTTTCATCGCCGAATTCATCCTCCTCGTCGTCATCGTCTCCGCCGATGATGTTGCACCGGGAGTCGTACCACAGCCACGCGGGGAGCTCATCCTACCAACAACATCTTCCAAAGCTGTCGCCGCCCCTGCAGCAGCAACTTCCTGCTCAGCGCGTCACGACACACCAAGACAATCAGCTCACGCAACTACCCGCACGACACGTTTTAAGCGGACCCCCAACACTCCAACGACAAATGGCTTTCGATTTTTCAAACTCACCTATCCAGAACTCACCAGATTCAAGAACCATCACTCAGCCAGCATCAACTAAGCCACTGATGGTTCAGCTCTCGGCAAGACCCGAAACCTCCACCAGGCTTGAGGACATCCTAGAAATCCTCCCCTCCGTGTTATCACCACGCCCTACAACAACCTCCCATCCACTGTCTCAACGAGTCAGAAGCGAACCTCCATTTGTATACAACAACCCGAATATTCTTCCTAGCTACAAAGACATTGAAACTTCCGAGTTTCATCCTCAACACCAAAGATCTCAATCATTTAGTATCCCGTTAACCCTAGCATCAGAGCTAGCACAACTGAATCCTACCACGACTAACATTGCATCATATCCTAGGACTTCACAAAACTATCCATATCAAAGTGAACTCGGACTTTTTAGTGGAAAAACTGTGAGTAGTGAAATACCCACCACCATCACCATCGAGGACAGCAGCTCATCTGATGAAAACATCAACGAGCAGCATCTCTTCCTCTCTCAGAAAAGGCCGGCCACTCAGCCTGTATTCCGGGAAAACCCCAAACGTTTTATCCCAGCTTCCGTGCCGGATATGACGTCATCGCCGTTTTCCATGTACGACCCCCAAACGACGTTAAACAACTTGACCACCGTCCACTGCTACAGCTCCACGAGGACGTCGAACTCCCCATCTCCTTACAGCATGTCCCCGTCCAGCGGGACTTCACCCACACCAAACATGAGGTTCACCGGGAAGGCAACACCAACATCTTCTTCTCGATCCTCACCAGATCCTCTATCGTCAGCCTCATCCATCCCGAACTTCCTGCTCTCGTCCATCCCCACCTGCACGAGCTCTGTCCCCAGCTCCAGCAGCCAGACACTAGCCCAGTGCTCCTCTACCGGCCTCACAGCCTCCATAGCAGAGCCCATCCCTGAATGGTACTCCTTCCTGGCAGATCTCCAGGACAGCGGGCTGGCCATGACCTCCCGTCATGGAGCGTCCTCCAGCCACAGCACACCTTTGGCCATGACACCCAGGCCAAATGACCAGCCGCTGACCCCTGACCCTTCCTTGATGAATGTCCCTAACATCATTGATGAGTTTTTGTCTCCAGAAGATCAAAATTTGTGATGAGAACAAAGCTAGGTTGATCATTTTGTTTAAACGTTAAACATTGTTAGTTAGATTCTTTTACTTCTTAAATACACAATGTGAATTCAGTGATTGTGATTTTAATTTATTCAAGTAAATTTGATACTTTTTTTGTACGACACTAATGTTATTTGTTGACTGTATTTTCATTGTATGATTTCATGTCACATTGTTGTTATATCAAAATGTTGCAATACTGTTTATATTTCATCAAAGGAACATTACCTTTTCTGGGACTTGAAACTTTGGACTGAAATTAATCAATTAATAGTGTTAAAAGGTCTGAATTTGACAAAAAAATGGCAACGAAAAATTGTGTGATTTATTTACATTTTAAAGCTTTACTCCATTGCTGTTAATTGATATATCCATGTTTAGACAATTCCAAGATTAATAGTAACAGTTCACCCAGATTTTTATGCTCAGCAGCATTTACAACCTTAAAAATATTGGAGGTAATCTCACGTATTAATGTTATATTTGTTATTTTATTTTTGTAAATATAATTTTTTGTGTTAATATTATTTTTCTTCAACACTAGAGGGTAACACAATATGACAATCAAATCCATGCAATTTTTTTTTAATTAAACAAACCAAAACTCAATGGCTCAATGTATTGAAATAGACTGAAACACCTGTTTTTAAAATGGCATTTTACATGTGAGGAATAGTGTGGAGTGCTGTTTGAAATTTATTTTGTTAAATTATGTGCAAAATCACTTGGACAAAATGGCAAACTTATTTGAATATGATGTTAATTTATTATTCTTAACCTCTTATTGACAGAATTTTGTAACTGTTGTTCATTTAAAAAGGTAAATATCTTTATGAATTGTTAATACATTATACATGATGGGAAAATTGCTAATTATTTTAAGTACAAAAAAAAATTACTGTGTGTATGTTTGTATGTTAGTCTGATAGTGTTGAACATATGAGAATTGCACATTCCATCGTTTTGAAAATTTTCCTTTAAAAAATGTGTAACTGAACTGCTGTTTAATGAGTTCATACCTGAACAAATTTTCATTTAGATCACAATATCTATTTCAGAGAAAACTTAACTTTTCATTTTGGATCACAGTCTTCATTTAAAACTTTATTAATTTTTCAATTTTGATCACTTATCTTGATATTTTATTCATGAAAATAAATAAATAAATTAAATAAATTCAATTTTGTTCTAATTTGATTGGTTTGATCTCTATTTTTTTTTTCTAAAATTTATTTTTCATACCTTTAAGGTTTTAATGTTTAAGTATGTTGTTCTGGTTGTCCTTTGTACACATTAGATTATCCATTGTTTAAATCCCACATTTAAACTTGGTACTTAGTGTTTATCAAATACACTTTGTTTCTGTTACATCCAGTAGGAATACAATGTAATTAAATGTTACTATCCTGTTACATAGTAAAAGTTTGAAAGGGTTATAAGCTAGATTTGAGATTTATATCAGGTTATTTATCTTTAAATAATTCTAAACTGTTCATGACTGTTGTTTATTGTTACCGAATTAAAAGTTTGAAAGGGTTATAAGCTAGATTTGAAATTGTATCAGGTTATTTATCTTTAAATAATTCTAAACTATTCATGACTGTTGTTTATTGTTTTTTTAATGTTTAGGCTATGAAAAATTTCAAAGGGTATTTTGTAATTAGATATAAGATTTGTATCAGGTAAATTATTTTTTACTGTTAATGTTGTTTTTATTTTATTTATTATTTTTTTGCTGAAACATGTTACAAAATTGCTGTTCAACCAATGATGTTCTCAATGCAAAACTGTTCCAGTATTTACTTATTTTGCTGAATTCTTAAAAATGGCAATCATGTTTTTTGTTCAATGTTTATTATAAATTTTTAAACCTCATTTTAAGAAACAAATCTTCAAGTCTATGTTAGTTGTATAATTGATTATAATGCAATCTTTAAAAAAGTTCACTTATTTTTATAACTGACTGTAGAAACTAATTTATCCTGTTTCTTTAATCTGTGATGTTTTCTAATTTTATTTTGTTTCACTCACTTCTTGCAGCATCAATTTACAAAAATCTCAATCTAGCTTTTTGAGCTGTCACCTATTATTCCCTTTTATTTCTTTAAATTCCTACCTGTTACTAATATACTCACAGCCAAAGCACCAGTAGTTTACATTACCAAACTGGTTACATAATTGCTTGGACTGCTTCAAATTTTTTTTAACACACCACTTTCTTGTTGAAAATTGTTTTAAAAAATGACATAACTCTTAAATAATCCCCTGGTGCTTTTTCTAAATGTATACAATATTGTATACATTATGGTCATATTTTATACCTTTTGGATTTTATTACACCAAATTGTATAATATTACATACACTCACCTTATATAAAAGTATTCATTTTATTTTTGCTAATAAACATTTTGTATTATATACATTCATTTTCTCATCTTAATTTATTCTCATTACATATTCTGGGTGATCTCTAAACGATGTTGTTACTATTAATAATTTCCACACTAAATACTCTCAGTGCAAGGGTTTTTCCTTGGGTTCTTCAAATTTTTCAAGAGTTTTTTTTTTTTAATTTGTTGACCCTTGTTATTTGTTAAAACTAATTAGACATGTTGGATAACTAGTAAAACAAAGATTTAAAACTGAAAATTCTCGTGTTATTTTATCTTTTTAAAAAAAAATGTTTTTGTTGCTTGTGTGTTTTTATGTGTACAAGTATGAGTCTGTTGTTGTTATTGAAGCGTGTTGTACAACGTTATATTGTAAAATATAGAACACTTTTTTACTTTCTCGTATATACGAAGTATAGAGAAAGTCTTGTAATCGTGCAAAAAAAAAAATCGAGATTTTTGCAAATCTCGACGTTTTGCATCTCACTGATACGGAAAAACATAATTTTGCAATCTTGTCCGTATGTCTGTGTGTGTGTCTGTGTGTGTGTGTGTCCGTGTGTAAACACGATAACTTGAGTACCGTTACAGCTAGGTTGATGAAATTTCATATATAAGTATTTTATCAAAATCGTAGATCCGTATCAACTTTTGAGCGATTTCCGATAACCGGAAGTGGTACTTTTCCTACTTTGAATTTTTCAAAAGCCTATAACTTGAGTACTATTTCAGATAGATAAATGAAATTTCATACGTAAGTAAAAGATCTAATTCTCTACCTTCTATTAAATTTTGAGTCATTTCCGTTGACTGGAAGTAGTACTTTACGCTACTTCCGATTTCTCAAAAAACTAATGTAAATTTTAAAAGTAATAATAATATTGCGCACTATTATGCGCTTTTTTATTTCGCGTTCACTTGGTGTGCAATTAATTTGTCTACGAGATTTTATTCTATTTTTAAAACTTTAAGTATTTAAAATGGATTAAAAATCATGTCTATAGCCCGAGTTCCCATCCCCTGTTATTTTATATAAGAATATTCGAGAAAGTTTAGGGGAGATCACTCCCGGTTTATTTTACTCGGTTCAATTTGACAAATATCTTAATGTGCTTACTCTTCAGAAGCTCCAGTGTACTTTATTGGGGGATGGTTAAGTTCTTTAGCACTTTATGTGTGTATATATTAGAGAGCAAAAGAGAAAATGTTGTAGAGGGAGGGTGGCAAGGCCCATGACACCCTTCCTAGATCCGCCTATTTTAAGAAAAATAGTCTGAAAAGACGCTTTTAAAAATAATTTTTTGTTTGTTTCAAATATGTAGCAAAATTCACATTGTTATTCGAAGACGAATTATCCTCTTCATTTTCATCTAAACATTTTTCGTCGTTATTATTTAAAGACGAATTTTCATCTTCATCTAAACATTTTTTGTCATTATTATTTAAAGACGAATTTTCCTCTTCATTTTCATCTAAACTGTTTTGTCGTTATTATTTAAAGACGAATTTTCATCTTCATCTAAACATTTGTTTGTCCTGCTCTTCTCCTCCAGTACAAAAAATGGTGCTCTGACGTCGATGGTGGGGAGGTCAGCGAAGACCTTCGTGAAAAACTGACGTCCGAGTCGACGTCATTCTCCCCCACCTCCTCCCCCACCTGCTCCAATGACATCATCGATTTCTCGAATGACGTTTTCGTGCGTGACGTCACAGACTCCCGCAAAGAGGAGGCTTAAAAATTAAACGACGACACATATTTCATGTGTTCTACGTCATTTGGAACGGAAGCTTCGCTGATCATTTCACGTCATCCTCGGCATGTTAATGACGTAGTGGATACAGATTCTGGAATCATCTTTGAGGAAACTTCCAGTAGATGAAAGAAAAATCCATGGTTAAAAGTCACGTGGTATGTATAACTAATGGAAGGCTGTTTCATGTCGCCATTACACTGTCATTTAAATGACAACTGCATATACCCAGATGTAGGCTTACATGTCATGTTGTGTAGGTCTATGACTCTGATTTAATCACGCAAGATGATTTAAAATATCTGACAATGTCTATAAAAAGAAAAACTGGACTTTTTTCATTCTTTTTTTTTTATTATTAGCACATTATAATTATATTTCGTTTAAAAATTGTTAAATTTACATTGAAACAATGACACATTTAAACATTTACTAAATAAAAAATAATGTACCATGTATTTGTCATTAGTAAAAAAAAAACACGGTATGTAAAAAACCTTTAATTATTTTTTAATTATTTTTAACCTGTTTAATTAAGTATAAATTTCTAAATATTTGTTTTCCTTAAGATTATTTTTGGGTATTAAAAAAAAATTACAAATACACCCTTGCTCAAAAATTTAAAACTTACAGACTTGTTTATTTGCAAAGTATTTTTTGCCCTCCATTTTTCAAAGTTCTACTAAAGACTTCACTATGTAAATTCTCCATTTTTTAAATCTTGAATGAAAGAGCCCGCAACATCCTTGATTCTGTTTATTTATACATTTTGAATTTAAAAATATCTAGGCCTGCTAAACTTCATCGTCAACATGGAGATGACAAGTTTTATTAACAACTTCGTTAAATTTGTTTGATCTGAGATGAGATCAAAGTCATTTTATTTTATATACAGTATTTTCATAATTGGAACGATTTTTGTATTTAAAAAAAAAATAACTTTTTCAGTCTGCCCGTTTTAGTTCCGGTGCAATCCTGTGGAATGTCTAATAGTGCACCATGATTGAATAAGTTCCTGAATGCCCCCCTCCCTTTCCACTTCCCGTAAATTTTAAGGATGTGTTGCCTATCTTACCACCCCCCCCCCCCCCCCCCCCCCCGCCCGCATATTTCAAGTTTCATCCCTTTCCCTAGTCACTCCTCATTTCAAAAAAATATTACTATGACAATTGTGATCACATATTTCACATATTTCATATTAACCCCCCCCCCCCCCAAGTTCACGCACACTATTGTATTATTGGGTTGGTCTCCTCTGCGATAACGTACGAATATGTATATATAGGCATATAATATATATATATATATATATATATATATATATATATATATATATATATATATGTATGTATATATACGTGTGTATATATACGTGTGTATATATATATATATATATATATATATATATATATATATATATATATATATGTATATATATGTATATATATATATATATCCTAACCTTTATATTTTAACCAAAACCCTTTTGCTCAGACAACGTAAAATATATTTCCGCTTGGTAGTTAAGTAATTCAATCAAGTAATTAGTCATGTATCCCCAAACCCTCATTTTCCCTAACCTCCGGGTCAAAAAAATATGGTCCCTCTCTCCTGCTGTAACACTTTACGAAACCGATCTAGTCAGAACTTAGACTAGCCCATAAAAAAAGTAGCCACTTGCACCCATTGACTCGTTCAGTAAAAAAACAAGCCAGCACGCGACTAGGTGGGTGTTATCTAGACAAGGTCAGCGGACATGCGCGTACTGTATTTTCCCCCACTTGTACCAACACTCCCGGTCAGATCTCGCACATTGACCTCGGGTTCAACATTGAAGTGGGGAGGTGGTGTCTGTCACCCCTTTCATCCACACCCACACCGTTTCTCAATTTTGCATTGTTATATAAAGTCACGTGATAGTACCTGATATATCTGTGAGTCAACCGCTGTGACGTTCGTGGGTGGGTGGAGAGGGAAATCTGAACCAGCGTTTCTTTCAGGCGTTCTTCAAATGGGGAGGGGGGGGGGCGGTATTAAATTGCGGAGGGGGTGGGGCACTGGTTAAAGTACACCTATAACTTTGTGTAAAAATTATAAAAAAAAAATTATTTCGTTTTTTTTTTGGGGGGGGGGGGTCGTGCTTACCCCCCCTCCCCCCCCTCCCAGTCCTTTCACAAGAAAAGATGCCTGAAAGAAACTTTGCTCTTAACCCAAATGTTTACTTTTTTAAAAAAATTAATTAACCGCACCAGCGACTCTGGATAATGGATAACCAATCATCCATCAATCGTTAACAAATAAGACTTGACTTTCATACTAACCACGATCTTTAAACGATGACTTTAAAAAGAGAACTGCTAATAACCAGAATTGGTTTCATTCGAAAAAGCTGTAAGCTGTGATTTGGAAAAAAAAAACATTGTTTGTGTATGTTCTATTACGTAAACGTTAGGATTAGAGACTAGTCGCTCATGACGTCAGTGCTGTAAATATACGTCAGACGTACGTCACCAGATGTACAACCAATCTTTTCGGGATCTTCTTCTTAGGTTTGTTTTGATAAAGTCGAGAGTAAGTGTGTAACTCGGTAAATAGGTCAGTGTAGGAGGGGGGGGGGGGGGAAGCTACACATCGTGTCAACACGCGCCGTCTCGTGTGTTTTGTGACTTTGTTACTCTGGAATGTGTGTCATGGTTATTTATAGATGGGCACACCTGCACTCACGATAACCGAATTTTTAAATAAAAACAAAAAGAAATGGTGCATTTAAAAATAGCTTTTTGTAATAGTATCACGAATAATCTATTTTATTACAAGCTTTTATTTAACTCACTTCCTCTGTCTGTCGTAAGTCTGTCTTGACGGAAACGCAGGAGTGAAAATTCGGACAGTTCTACTTGACCGACACGATTCACAGTTGGCACGTGGGTCAAGACATGAAGACAATGCAATCTGAAACTAAATTTGACTTAATTGGATGCCTAATTGATTTTTTATGAATTAATTAAAATTTGGACCGAA